AAATCCTAAAAAGTGATTCTGGATTTAAAAAGATGGTTTAGTGCTTGGCTGGCTCAGTTGGTGGATCATGTGACTCTTGATCTTGGGGTTATGAGTTTGAGTCCCACGTTGGGGGTAGAGTTTACTAAAAAAAAAAGAAATTTAATTTCTTTTAATTCTCTAATAAAGAGAAGGCTTGTGTAAGTTGGAAGTCATTATATGTAAACTTCAAGTTATAACTGGTATGAATTTATTTCCTACAAAGCTAAAGGAAACTTTAACAATAAAAATAATTATTGGAAATAGTAGTTATAGCTTTCATGAATATAGTCCTCTAGGAAACCTGTTCTATTAGCTTTATTATGTAATATATGATTCCTTGATTACACTTGCTCTCCTCATACAGGCAAGAGGGGAATTAATAGCCATAGACTTAGATTTGGCCCCAGGTCATACAGCTACAAAATGGTAGGCCTGAAACTAGATCCCACTTTGGTTCTTTTTCCAGAAATATCTGTAGGAGTAACTTAGAAAATGACTTACTCCTTTTTGAAAAGTAAAAAGTCATTGAAGGGCCTTTTGTGCTTGTGCTTGTATTACTTTAGTTCATACTTCTTTCACGTGTAAAGACAGCACACCAGTACCTTAGTGCCCATTGTGTTCGAGGAGCAGTGCTGGACACTGGCTGTACATTTGCTCACCTAGTCCTCTCAACAGCCATGGGATAGAGATATTATTTCACAGGTGTGAACTCCCCTTAGATTGGTTCACAGCACTTGTGAACTGCAAGTATGGGATTGAGCCTGCTCTTTCTGACTCCAGTGCGCAGTCACAGTCGAAGCTAAGTGGCAAAAAAGCTGTATGAGATGAAGAGGAAGGAAGCAGGATGAGGCACCCAAAAGACTTGTGCTAGAGCAGGTGAGAATACGGACAGTTATGCAAAGCTGCCCCACAAGTTTAGGGGTTTCAGGGTGTACACCACAGACATGGACATAACCCGGTTTAAATCCATCTTTGATTCTTGTGAGGAATAAATGAGGTAACTTATATAAAGATCTCAGTACACAATTCCTGGAGTAAAAATGAGGCTCTGTAAATGTTTCAAATAATAACAATGATTATGATGATAATAATAATCACTATAACCCTGAAGTTGCATAGCTCTGTATAGCCAGGGAAGCATTTTAATATGAAGCCAAGAATTTAAGAGGAATAAATTTAAAAAAAAAACATTCTAATTGAAGTCTTCCTGAATGTTGAGATAAATTGATAAAGATATTATGAGAGACATACCAGTTTTTTCTAGGTGATTGGTATCTTAAGGTATTTGCTGTGTTAATCATATTCTTTTAATCCATGTGACTTGGGCATAAAATGCATGGATTCCCACTTTTCGTAATTCTTAAAAGAGAGACACTTAAGAGGAGGCAGAGGATGGTTGGGGGGCTCCTCTTTGATTTATGGACACCTGTAGAAATATGTCAGGTGGGGAAGTCCAAGTATTCCTAGGTCTTGGAGTGGTATGATATGACATACTGTGGTGTGTGTGTATGTGTGTGTGTGTGTGTGTGTGAGAGTGAGAGAGAGAGAGAGAGAGAGAGGAGAGAGAGAGAGAGAGAGAGAGAGAGAGAGAGAGAGAGTTGAGGACACCTGTGTTCTTACCCAGCTGTGATGGCCCCATGGTGAACATGATTACTTATGTTAAATCATAATCTGTTTTATTATTGTATATTACTTTAAATAAATATTGGTCCTTAAGCAATTGACTTAAAAAAAATTGGGCAGCAAACCTGTTCTTTTTCCCTTTTTTGTCCATTTGGTCTCCCTGTGGCAGGTTTTCTTGAAGCCTCAGTGATTATGTGACATATCATTGTACTTTTCATAGAAGAATTTCTTATTTTTTAAAATCAGCAAATTATACTAGCTAATCTCAAAGACTGCTCTCATCTCTCTAGTTCTAGAATTCTGCCATTTTTACAGTAAGATATCCTGTGTGACTCTCAAGGTTGCAGCTTGGACTGTACGGTTATTTGTTAGTCCGTTTGTTCATGAGGCCTTTTTGTTCACTTGAAATTAACCCTTACATTGACTCAGAGCTAGCAGAGCCTCTTATCTGCAAAGCTAACCTGTCAGAAACGCTTTAGCTTATTACAAGGGTGGTGTGCAGTCGCTTTGCATGGTGTAAGTGTGGTGCACTTCAGCCTTGTGGCTTTAGTGCTCCCACAATGGGCTCACTGCAGGCAAGTGAGTGGCACATCGTGCTATTCAGGTTTAGACTCTTATACCATGATTACAATCCAGCCTGTTTTCTGAAAGGTGAGTGATAGTCAAACAAGACATTATTATTCCTAAAATTTGTTTTATTTTATTTTTTAAAATCAGTGCAACGTAAAACATGAACCATGTTGGTATCTTTCCTTTTTTTGTGCCGCTTATTGCCTTTTCCCTTAATGACTTTTTTGCAAATGCCCACTTCTTTTCACTGCTATTTATATTTGTTGCCTGTCTTCATTTTCTTAGAGCTTTCCTGTTTCATTTCTTTGTTTCAGACACTATGTTCTCATGAGAAAAGCAAACATATTCAACGGTGACCTAGGAATGTGCCTCTGTTTCTGGAACTCAGGAAAGCTTTTGCTTCCTGTCATCAGTGGGTTTTGAAAATCTGTTTACATTCTCTCTAGATATTATATTCTCTCTCTCTCTCTCTCTCTCTCTCTCTCTGTCTTTTTTTAGTTTTTGGGTGAGAGGAAGGTGCAGAGGGAGAGGGAGAGAGAGAATCTTAAGTGGGCTCCACATCCAGCATGGAGCCTGATGCAGGGCTGGAATTCACAAACCATGAGATCATGACCTAAGCTAAAATCAACAGTTGGATGCTTAACTAACTGGGCCACCAAGGCACCCCTAGATTCTTTTCTCTTGAGTGGACATATCTGTAAGAGAGAGGTGCTTAGAATCTGTGGTACTCATAAACGGATATGAATCATGACGTTAATAAAAAATTCCTTGTGACTTCTAAATAACAATAGTAATAACTATACTGTATGGATTTGAAGACTGTCATTTTTAGTGACTAAGCATGCAAACATATAAAAACCCTTTTACTTGGTCATGGCTTGCCATCTCGCTCTTGAAGAACTAGTGAAGAGAATAGTAATATACACAACAGTTTTCATATGGTGCCAGTTAAAATGGCACTGATTAGCAGTACAGTGAATCATTTGACCTCCCTGGACCTCCATTTCGTCATCTGTGGAATGTAGTAGTAGGTCTAGAAGCGGCTCTCTCACCTTCACCCTCAGGACTATTAAGACTTGGGCAGTTTAATTTGTTCATGTGTGTATGTGGAGGGGCTGTTGTTCTGTGTGTTGTAGGATGTTTAGAAGCTTCCCTGGCCTCTAGACAGTAGATGCCAGTAGCACTCCCTTAGTTGTGACAAACAAAAATATCGCTGAGGAAACAAAATTGCCCGTGTGGAGCATTACTGGTCTAGAATTGCATTTCCTAAAATATACAACAAAATGATAGGAATCCAAGAGCTTGTGGGCCTAATTATCAGAGTCTTATGACCAGATTTCTTCTGTGGAATCACATAAATGAAGAACAGACTTTATATTACTTTTGCCTCTTTAGAAGACTTTCTTGATATGGTTTAAATACTGCCATGGATTTTGTTCCTTCTATTAAAATTTGAGGACTCAGTTATCAAAATGTGAAAGAGGACACAGGAAAGAGCCCTTTGAGCAAATAATGCCTTATGTTTATAGATTAACACATATAGTTGGCATGGGCTATGCTGCTGGAGAGGTGGATAGTCAATGTAGGCATTAAAGATAAGTTCTAGCATTTAACAGACATTCCAAACTTTGGTTGAATGTATGGATGATGAAAAGATGGATGGATGAAAGATAGATCTGCTGTTTCTAACACACGTGGCTTTAGGAACAGTATTTCATCAGTGACAAAAAATGGTGGTCACAGGATGCCTTGGGTGGCTCAGTCGGTTAAGCATCCGACTCTTGATATCAGTTCATGTCATGATTTTGGGTCACGAGATAGAGCCCTGCATGGGATTCTCTCTCACTGCCCCTCCCCCTTCAAAATAAATAAATAAATAATTTTAAAAATTGGCCACAGAGAAACCAAGGAAAGAGGTTATTGAGTATAAGCACTACAGAACCTCTTTCATTCTTCCATGAGCCCCTCCTGGGTACTTGCCTGCCTCTGTTCTTCCACAGTATTTCCTTCCACGTCTCTCCCCAGTCCTATATCCTTACTTGCCTTTTTTTTTCTTTTTTATGTCTGTTGACTGAATTGATTGTATTAGAGCTTTTTCATATTTATATCATTTTTTGAATCAGACAGCATAGTCTTATGAGAAAACAAACCCCACCACATTGACTGTGAATCCACATGTGGGCATCCTGAAGGAAGGACTGAATCATTCTCCTTTGCTGTTTGAATCAAACCAGTGATAGGATTCCTGACCTTCTTTGGAAATAAATCACTTCCGATTCATTTTCTAGAGTCCCATGTCTTTGGTAATTTATTCCAGACGATTAAAGTTTTTGGTCAAAGCACTCTGCTTCGACAACCCCAATAGATGCATTTTATGTTTGTGCCCTCCTAGTGATGTTACTTATCTAGCACAGAGTTAACAAAACTGAGGCCTGAATTTGTTAAAAAGTAGAACTTAGAGTCTTCAGTAAGCGAGTAGTTAAACAAGGGTTGAAACTGCTGAGCCCAGATCTGTAGCACCAAGATCCAAGACGGAAGATCAAATTGAGGCAGGATAAATAATTTGCTACAAAGATATTGAATTTACAGCCCCAGAAGATGGAAACATTTTTCTTCATGCTTTGTTTAAAAGTCATAATAATTATCGAGGGTGGCCACTTTCCAGTACCATAGCTTTGATTTAATGGAACTAGCTTCTCTAAAATGGACAGATTACTTAACGTCGAGAACTTTCTTTATAGTTTCATTTTAGTAAATGTGGCTCATGACCTGCTTTTTCTCTCTAGACCTTCTCTCACCATGCCTCACAGGAACCTGACAGGAAGCTGCAATGTTAATTGTGGTTGTAAAATACACGAGTATGAGCCAGTGTGTGGATCAGATGGAATTACATACTTTAACCCTTGTCTGGCTGGCTGTGTTAACAGCGGTAATCTTAGCACTGGGGTGAGTATATTTCACAAGTTCCTGTACTATTGGTGATCTAACATCCTGTGACAAGGATTCATATGCTAACACGTGGCTTTAGTCCCTCTTTTCAAGAAACTTCGAATAACCTCCAAAATACCTCCTGACAAAAACCCAGAGGAACAAAAATTATGCAACGCTATCATTTTTTCCCAAGGACGACTGAAACACGTGGGTGTAGTGCCTTGGTTCCACACCATCCCTCTCCCACTTTACATTCTGTGCCAACTCAGTGAAACATGATAAGGGTGAAAGCTGGGCTTCCCGTTCATTACTCACTCAGGGCCCTTGCGATGCATTTGAAGGTCAAGATGACTGCATTTGGTGCCCATAGAAGAGGATTGGAGATCACCTTCCCTGATCAAAGTCTGTGAAGATGGGTGATGGATTTTTCATAGACAATCAGTTCAAACTTTTTTTTTTTTTTAACTTTCAGAGTAAAGATATTTCTGTCAGTTCAAGAATAGGCTATTTTGAGAATTTGCTTCCCCGTGAATTATAAATAGGCTGTAATACTGTGGGAGGTTTTCATATTCTACTCAGTTCCTTACTGAGCCTGGTTTCATTCTTTGCTTAAGAACGGATTGTAGGAGGCTGCTTTAAGTAAAAAGGTTAAGGTGCATTTGCCTGTACTGCAAAGGTGTTAAGGGATTATACTATTGACTGTATGTTTTGGGATCGTCATATTTGATTTTGGGGTTTTATGCTAGATTGATAAATTCAGAAATCCTGTGGCTGGCTCCCCACTATATAATTGGTGAGCCCCAGTGTGTAGCCAAGTTGAAAGAGACAATGAGATGTGTTTTTGGTGGATAAGTCCTGGGAGTGAATGAATGAGTGAATCCTCTAATTTACAGTCCTCATTCCTAAAAAGAGGCCAGCAGTCCCCAGAGCACAGAGGGCCAAGTGGCACCCCATCCTCATATTTGTTGCTACTGCTTCTCTAAGTGACTGAGAGGTCACAATGATAGTGAGTTCAGTTGATGTCTGTTCAGTGAAAACAAGACAATAGGCAGAAAGATTAATTGGCTGTTTTTATTTGAAATGGCTTTTTAAAAAGTTTTTCTAATGTTTATTTATTTTTGAGAGAGAGAGAGACAGACAGACAGAATGTGAGCTGGGGAGGATCAGAGAGAGAGGTAGACACAGAATCCAAAGCAGGCTCCAGGCTCTGAGCTGCCAGCACAGAGCCCGACGCGGGGCTCAAACTCACACACTGTGAGATCACGACCTGAGCCGCAGTTGGATGCTTAACCACTGAGCCACTCAGGTGCTCCTATTTGAAATGGCTTTTTAGTTCCTTGAATTAGCTTGTTTCAAACGAAACAGCCAGTGGTATGTTCACTGCTACTGGCGCCAAAGTCATCACAATTGCATCATGAATTCTCTGCCTTTATGTAACAAATATTTTACTTTGGGTCCTATCTTGTGTTCTGGCTTATGTTATGTGCTCTGGTGGGCACAAAGAAACTTAAGGCTTGGTTCATGTGTTTGAAGGGCTTCTGTAATCAGAGAGCCCAAGATTTAAACAGCAGTTGAAGCAGCACATAATTGTGACCCGAATGAGCATATGGAATGGAGTGTTGAAAGCTCCTAATAAAAGTTTAGGTTAAAAAGTTTCATCAGCAGATATTGTTAGATGCACACTTTGGATATTTGTTATTAGTAATGAGGATGTATTTTCATTCTTCATTTTTTAATGTTTACTTATTTTTGAGAGACAGAGCATGAGCAGGGGAGGGTCAGAGAGAGAGGGAGACACAGAATCTGAAGCAGGCTCTAGGCTCTGAGCTGTCAGCACAGAGCCCAAGGCAGGGCTCTGACCCATGAACCATGAGATCATGACCTGAGCCGAAGTCGGACGCTAAACCTACTGAGCCCCCGCCAGGCACCCCAACGAGGATGTATTTTCAATTAAAAATGATGCATATTTAAATATGGGAGTTACTGTAAAGCTTTTAACTTTGTCTTAATCTGCCTATGCTTTTGTTGCCTTACAGTCAATCTTTGTTATCCCGTAGATAAGGAATTACACAGAATGCACGTGTGTCCAAAGCCGGCAAGTGATCACTCCACCCACGGTGGGCCAGCGCAGTCAGCTCCGTGTCGTTATTGTCAAAACCTATCTCAACGAGAATGGCTATGCTGTGTCTGGGAAGTGTAAACGGGCCTGCAATACCCTTATCCCGTTCTTAATTTTCCTTTTCATTGTCACCTTCATCACAGCATGTGCCCAGCCATCGGCCATCATTGTAACACTCAGGTGAGAACAGCACTCGGCTCCCAGGTGGGTTACTTACAACAGAATTTGCCAGAATACACGTTCCAAACTGGGATTGGTGTGGGAAAGCTTTCACACATTTGCTTGCTGAGCTTAAGGGAAGTGTTTTCCCAGGTCCAGAAGGGAAAGGGAGGTTGTAACATCTCATACTCCAGAACGTTCTTTATTCAGATGGGTTTTATTCCTATAGTTTGGTGAAACTTTTTTGGAGTGCCTTTGCTTCCTAAAGTCTGTGCCCTATAAGGTTCAAGTGCAGGAACTGAAAGCTGTCACCATGTTAGCCACAAGAAGCCTGACTCCAGTGGGGGCAGGAAGTCATTTGGTGAAGTTGATAAATCTTACCTACATTAAAGAACATTATCTCCCACCTTGTAGAGATATAGCACCTCCAGCACCAGTGAGAGTTGATGCTGGGCCTGCAGCTCCAAATGCTGAGTTCTTGGGTTTTACTATCATACACAGTTTGGGAGGGGACCCAAGGAAAGGACAGATTGGGAGATGTCTCTTTTCAGCCATTCATGCCGTGCTTTATTATATATCCCGTTTGTGCTTATTTGCTTATAAGGGAACACAGACGTTACTTTCATGGAAGTCCTATTAAAAATGTTGACATGGACACATTCAGATAAGGGTGTGGACATTTGCTGTAAAGGCTGCAGCAGGCAGAGAAGGACGGGGGTGGTGTGGTGAAGGTAAAGCACAGCCTGCAGCTTTTGGAGGACAGGGAGGCGGTGCAGGGAAGGGGTGAGGAGGAGAGGGAACTGTTCTCATTCTCCCTTTACCTCCTTCCTGGCCCCTCAGTACCTCACGCTGCTGGACTCCTGGTGGTCACACCTGCCCGACATCACTCTCAGCAGGGCAGCTGGGCTGTTTGCTGCTTATTCTGCATATTTTGGCTTCTCTTCTATGGGAAGCTGAGTTAGATGTTTCCCAGCCAATTCATTCCTCAACAGTAAGACAATAGCACCCAATGGGAGGCCCATTGCTTTGTTCACTCACTTCTCCATCAACAGATCCGTATGGAGTAAAAATGGTGTGTGCACCTTTGGGCCAATGGCTAGGAAAAGTTAAGGAAGGTGGCGAAGAGATGGCAAGTGTAACAGCCCTTGGGAATGTGACATGCTATACCTAGAAGTCAATGTGTATGGGACAGAAAGGATAAGGTGCTTCAGCATTTTAAAAAAGTGAATCATTAATAAGCCAATTCTTTGAACTTTAGTCCTGCAAGAGATGTTAAATAACTCAGAAAAGGGCTGCCCATGTTACAGTGCTTGAACATGGCAAATCACCAGCTGGCTTTAACCCAAAACATCAGAAAAGGAGCCCTTTAATCTTTGCTAATTACAAATCAATAGATTCCAATCTTTCCGCCATGTGGGAATTACTTGGAGCATACATTTTAGGAAAAGAAGAAAAAAAATAATGTGGTGGGAGGGATTCATTCTTTTTCTAACATTTGACTGTTTTTTTATACTTTTTTCCTTTTTGACTCTAGTTCTTTCTTTAGCTTTTTTCCCTCTATACATTTCCTTGAGAAAATATGGGACTAACTTTCAATCTACACACCTACCCTCTGGAAAGTATAAGCAAATAGAAAAAAGAATGCAGTAGTTAGGATAAAATACTATATATGGTTTTTCACAGAACTGATTTGGGAAGCTCAGAGCTACTTCTGTACCTTCAACCATGAATCTTTGGCCCTCTACCAGTATTTACACAGAAACAGAGTTCATTAGAGTTTCTTTGGATTCTTCACTGGGGAGAGCTTAGTCAGATTTAGCTATATCAGCAGTCTTGTTTGGCTGTTGTTAATAAATTCTAGTAAATAGGGGCACCTGGGTGGATCAGTCAGTTAAACGTTCAACTCTTGATTTCGGTTCAGGTCATGATCCCAGCATTGTGGGATTGAGCCCCACGCCGGGCTCTGCGCTGAGCATTGAGCCTGCTTGGGATTCTCTCTCCTCCTTTCTCTCTGCCTCTCTCTCCCATTTGTGTTCTCTTGCTCTCTCTCAAAAAAAAAAAAAAAAAACAAAACAAAAAAAAACTTCTAGTAAATAAATATTTTTGGCACAGAAGCTCTTTGGTCCCAAGCTCTGCACTAAGCAGGCCTGCTTTGATGTTCATTTTCTTGCTGCCAGTATCATAAAACATTTCTTTCTTTCCTGTCTCCATAGGTCGGTAGAAGATGAGGAGAGACCTTTTGCGCTGGGGATGCAGTTTGTTTTATTGCGAACACTTGGTATGTTCTTGAATTTCCACCCGTGCTTCTTAGTTCCTCCTTACAGATACAAATTCTCACTGTCCTTTTTAAATGGCAAGTCAATCGTTTCTTACCATTAGTAGTAGCTAGGATTTGACAGAGGTTAGTGGTGAGGGCACAATGTTTTTACTTTCTGATTTGAACTCGAAGCTACCCAGTTCTGTCATTTGATGAAACAGAACAAAACGAACAGTTTCTTTTTTGCAATGAGCATAATAAACTTGGGCTAAATTCCCCAGAAAATTTTGTACAGTAAGAAATACTGAAGCAAGCAATTGCCATGGCCTTATGGTCTTGGGGTTTTTGTCCCTTTATGCCTTTGTAACATGAAAGTGATGGGAATTGGCACTCATATTACTTGTGAAAATTTTGATTCCTTACTTCTTTACAACAATTTTATTGGACTGGGAAAAAAGTATATCTATCAAGTTTTCTGAGGAAAAGAAATAAAAAACCTCTGGAAAGAACAAAGACAGATCCCCAAATTGAAAAGAAGCTTGTTAGCACTGTCAGTATGTCGCAGAGTCCATTGGGGCATGAAGAATATCGTTCTGATTTTGACAAACACCGTATCATTCTGTGGCGTTTTGGGACAATGCGTGGGAAATAGTGTGTGAAGTAGCCCATTCCCTGGATGGAAAGGAGTGTGTTTTAAATTGACTTCCTCATCATGAAGCATTTTTTTTCTTATGTAAGTGGCAGTCTGTCATTTTCTTCAACTGTTACTTCCCCCAGTAATCAGTATCATTGTCCACAGGACCAAAAAAATGTTGTTTTTTTTAAAATTTAAATGTTAATTTCCATCTTGGATAAAATGGTATCCTCTGACCCTTTGAAACATTAATCTTCTCAGGAACTCTCAAATTGTCATCATGTTCTGGTAGATGGCCCAGTCTGAGGGTAAGGACTTTCCAGTGACCCTCAATGGCTTCTAGTTGCATTGAACGGGTAGCTTGCATTTTGCTACTGATAAAACGTTGAAGGTCCCATTTTTCAAAGCCAGCTGGTTATAGGAAATTCTGACATCTTTTGAAGTCATTAAGAAGCTTGCCTTCCATGTCTTGTGGACAACTATAAAGTTGTTTTCAAAGAAGGAAATGTGTTTAGCAAAGAGTTAGTTAAATAGGAAAAGAAAAAAATCGTTCCTCCTTTTTGCTCTGCCTATCTTTGAAGCCATGGAGTTGAAGTGATTTCATATGGAATTGGAGGTAAAGGTGAGTCAACAGAGAGATGTTCAGCATTAGGAACAAGTGGTAGGCATTTACAATTTAATTTATAATTTAACCATCACTTAAGTTCTGCTGATTATGAAAAATAATAGTTGGGCCAACAAACCAATTTCCATTTCCCAAAATACCAAGGCAAAAAGAGGGTATTATATATTTTAATAATGTTAAATTTTAATTGTAGTGATCATACTTCATTTTAAATGAATACAACATATTTAAAAACACATCACATACGTACAGCTTTCTGGGCTACTAGCCCACCTTCTTCCCTTCTTTCCTCTCTTTCGTTCCTTTTTTTTTCTCCCTTGTTCCTTCCCATCACTTCCTTTTATAAACTCATTGACGATCCATGGGCTGCCCTGATAGATCCTTGAGATACAAGGAGTAAAAGGCGTGGCCTCTGCCATCAAAGAGCTTATGGGTGACAAATCTGCAAACAGTTTAAATGTTGCATCATAGCTGATAAAATGGAGGCATATACAAAATTCAGTGGGAATATGGTGCCTCTGAATGAGTAAGGAATTTAGAAGAGGGGTTGATCATTACCAGGTGAACAGTTTGCGGATGGGAACATTTTTCAGCAAAGGGAGTAATGGGTGGTGTAGGAAGTGTACTTGGGTAGACTTTCCCTCCCACAGTAGTAAAGAAATGTCTATCTCCTAGCCCGAACAATGAAGATACTATCATGACAGATGTTTTGCAAGATTCAAAGATGAATTTTATGCCTTAATTATTTCTATACCTCAAATGCCTTTGTACAATTGGCCATTTGATGTGGTTTTTGACTTCTGGGGACACTGTTTCCCTCTTACCCTCCTTGTACCCGAGGGCGAGAACCCAACACATAAAAACCAAGTACTGACTTTTAGTGGATCATAAAGGGTTAGTATAGCCTCTTGAGTATTTAATGACAGAAACTGAGGGGCGCCTGGATAGCTCATTTGGTTAGGTGTCTGACTTTGCCTCAAGTCATTATCTCTCGGTTTGTGGGTTCAAGCCCTGCATCGGGCTCTGTGCTGACAGTTCAGAGTCTGGAGATTGCTTCAGATTCTGTGTCTCCCTCTCTCTCTGTCCCTCCCCTGCTCATGCTCTATCTTTCTCTCTCTAAAATAAAGAAAACATTAAAAAAATTTAATGACAATCTGATTTTTAAGTTTAAGAGGATTCCATAACTTAATTTTAAACAATAGACATTTTTATGGCCTTAAAAATCAGCAACATATTCTGACTGTGTTGCAAACTGGAATATTGGAAGTGTTTATAACTTAGTGAACATTTTTATAATAAACATATTATGATAAGATGTGACCTATTTGAAACAGTCAAATAACACAAGAAAACCGCTCCCCTCCGCTGGTTTTAGAGCAAAAATGCATATTGCTATTTACAAATCCATTGTCTCTTGCAAGACAGGCTAAATCTTCTTCCCTTTTTTTTCTTTTCTCTCTACGACGCTAGCGTACATTCCTACTCCAATTTACTTTGGCGCAGTCATTGACACCACCTGCATGCTCTGGCAACAGGAATGTGGGGTGCAAGGCTCTTGCTGGGAGTACAACGTGACCTCATTTCGTTTTGTCTATTTCGGTTTGGCGGCCGGCCTCAAATTTGTTGGCTTTATTTTTATTTTTCTGGCCTGGTACTCCATTAAATACAAGGAGGACGAGCTGCAGAGGCAGAGGTGGAGAGAGTTCCCTCTGAGCACCGTGAGCGAGATGGTGGGCCACTCGGACAGTGCCGACAAGGAGGCCCGGACTCGATCCTGCCCAGCTTTCAGCAGCCAGGGGGAGTCCCGGGAAGAGACTGGCCTGCGGAAAGGCCTCCACTACACAGCACAGACCTACCCGGGGCCCTTCCCCGAAGCAATAAACTCCTCCCCGGACCCGGGGCTGGAAGAAAGCCCAACTGCCATGTAGCCTCCCTCCTGAAGCTTGAAAATGGAAGACTCTAGTTTTGTTGGTTGAGTTGAATATGGCAACTTGAGAAACACCCGTGCCTTCTTTTCTTTCTTTCTTTTTTTAACCTCTAAAGATACAATCCTCAAACCAACAAAACTCAGTATACACAGCCACTGTTGATTGAGGGCTGGATACCTCAACAAGACTGACAGCCTTCTCCCCCCTTCTCTCCAAGAAGGAGGAGTTTAGATAGAGTTGTTACCATTTCTGCTATGTTAATTTAACGCTCATGCTCCAGCGTGGTAGAAGGCTGAGAGGTGCCTGGTTCACAAAATCGTGGGAAGTGTAATGGCGGTGCATATCGTTAGCATACACTCCAGACAAAGGTGAGCTTGACCATGACTTTGCATTTACACATCAAAGTTTTTAGATATGAACACCTACTGTGAGTTCCGCTACAAAGCACAAATGAATTTGCCTCAACTATGCAATTTTGATTGGGAAAATATAAGTGTGGCATGTTACTTTTGCTTTCAGAGACTAAAGCAGAAATGTTTTGAAAAGAGGACAATAACCTTTCCCTAAAGTACTGTTAATAGCATTTTAAGCCATAGCAGAGTTATAAATCAGGTAGAATTTTTCAAATACTTCAAAGGAATCATATGCATAGTGTGATAAAAGGAACAGCTACTTTCTTCATAAGACACATTCTCTTTTAGTCTGTCTGCCCCATTATAAGGTAAAGAGTCTGCTGAATCCTAAATCTGATAGCTTGAGTATAAGCTCCAGTATTCTTTTGCCAGGGGTTTTAAAACTAGTGTGCTAAACAATATGGCTAGAAATGAATTTGGGATGTATCATAAAGAGAGAAACCGATGGCATTCTCCTCCAAAGAAAAATGCCACAGAAATCCTTTTGGCTCTTATGGGCCCACACAAGGGTAGTTAAGGACTGTAACCTTGACACGCAAAATGGTTGGAAAAAGAAATTCCACAGAGGTACAATTGAGTTCGACCTGAGCAATTTAGTTGTACATCTAGAAGCCCTAGCAAGTCTGTCCTGTTTTCTTTTTTATGCACAGAAAATTGCCATGGTTGCCCCCTGACGTTGAGTAATTAAATCAGGGAAGCTACACCTGTGATAAGAAAAATCACTCTGAATATAGGAGAAGGGAGATCTGTGAGCTGGCCCCAGAGTATGATCCTAAGTAATGATTGGAAGTTACTTAAAATCAACTTGTCTGTCATCCTGAATTCTACTTTATCAGAGTTCGAACAGTTTTACGCCTCCCTTTGATTCCTTCCTCCTGTAACCTTCCTGAAGCGATTCTGAGAGAGGATTTTTCTGTTCCTAAACTCACGTTGGATTCTCATCCATCATCCTTTTCAGTTCCTCCCAGCACATCACTTTGACTTAGGCACCACACGGAATGCTTTCTACATGGTTCTTAAGGTAGATGCTTCCTGCCAGCACTGATAGCAAGTTAACTCTTGCAGTCTGGCTACTCAGAAAAAGAATCCTGACAACCCAGAGTTAGGAGGGACTGGAGGGTCCAAATACCAACATAATTGTGAACAGTTTCTGCCAAAGAGCCTATGCGTATGTAGGGGCTAATTTGGGAAATGGTTTCCTTGGCTGGCTTACACTCTTCTACGGAGGGGAAGTGATTGACAGACTGCCCCATAATTCAGGCTTTCACCCTTCATCACACTGTGGGGTCTTGTGAACACTCCTGGGGCCAATATTGGTTTCCTCACTACCTAAGAATGATATTGTCACATGGTTCTTTTGGTTGCACGGTTTGTGGAGATGGTTATCACTATTAGACTGAGTAACATCTACAAGCAGTGGAGCTGGTGGTCTCGGGTGACAAGGACTTCCCTTTGAGCAGTCTCGTTTGGCTGAGTCCTAAGTCCATTGTTGCCTGGAATTGCACTGGTGTCTGTCAAACTTTGATCAACATAGTGTATATTGAACATCTTCAGAGAACGTTGCTGATTAACTTAGTGTCTATTCTGGTGCTTCAGGGTTCCTGTTTACTCTCTATGGGAGATCTTTGCTCCTTTAGAAGGGAAAGTTTCCTTTTGGGTTGGAGCTAAAGATATACAGGTTGGGGAGAGGTGGTGTTTTCTTAATTTTCCTCTAATTGCTAAGGAACTACACTGAGAGAACTACATTTGGATGGGAGTAGCACTTTCTTTTTTTCTTTCTTAAAGCCAAGATTGTATGATCCAACACTCTTACAATCTGTCTCTTCTTGGTAGTATATTTTGAAAAGGAGCTGCTCTCAGAACTCCTGGGTAAGAAGTGATAGACACTTTGGGTATGATTCAAGAGCCCTCTTTCTCTTCCTTGAACGGTCATCCAGTTCAGTAACCTTGACCAGGTGCCAGTGCTCTACTGGGCACTATTTCAGTCAATTACTATCTGCCACTCTATGAAATTCTTTAGGTTGACTAGGCCAGAATTCAAAGAAATTGGCCCAAATTGTACACCACGATGTTGATATTGTACTTCCTCAAGTCTGTGATACTTATAAATAGCAGCTGTATCATTAGTGTGTTGTTAGTGAGTGTAGAGTAAGTAGTGAAAATCATGGAAGACTAAAATTTTGAAATATGTACCAATTAAGAATTGTCCCCAAATGCTTTGGGTCCTGGTAGCAGCCTTGGAATATTGCATAGTCAACTAGAGTGACTATTTTATAAATGGCACCATTTCATTGTAGATATGAGGTTCTTACATGCTTGCTACTTAATAGTTACAGCTCTTGTTATAAATTTAATTCCCACTTTCTTTTTTTTTTTAAATAGTTTATTGTCAAGTTGGTTTCCATATAACACCCAGTGCTCATCCCCACAAGTGCTCTCCTCCATACCCATCTAATTCCCACTTTCCATGAGCTTAGGATTCTAATCACTTGTTTTGGGAAAAGGTCACCTTGTTCTTTTATCAATTCTGTAGATTAATGCATTATTTGGCTTTAGTATGCAAATATAATATCTACGAGTCTAGCCCATTAATTATAAACTCCCAGGGGGAGGGTGGCTGGTTGGAGCACATTTTTTTAGCTCTCTCCCTTAGAATGAAGCCCTTATCCTTTTTAGGTGAATTTAATTCTTGAAAACAGTCAAAAGTCATTCAGAACTAAGGTTGGGGAGGAAGGGGAGCACAGAAGAAACAAATTAGTTTTTGTTGAGTGTTGCTTATTTCAGAGAATTTTGTCAAACACTTAATATACATAATTTATTTTAATACTCTTAATAACTTTGCAAGATAACTGTTTTCATTCTGTGTTTCTTTCTTTTTTTTTTTTTTTATAAACAGATCATGAAAACTGAGACTCAGAGAGGTAAAGAGACTTGTTTAGGATTATACAGAATGGCCAAGTCAGGGTTCAGAAGCAGCTTTCTGTCTCCACCATCTGCTTCTTATGTTTTATAATGCCTACAATAGCTTTGGTTAACAAAGACAAGTGTGACTATAATTTATTGAGGTAAAGCATTTCATCTTTTGATGTGTTGCTGTTCCTGAACAGTAGGGAAGTTATTATTTCTTTGTGTAGGATAGAAAACAAAATCTGTAGGAAACGTCAAAATTTGATGTTTAGATTTTCAAGGTAACTTATATTGATTTAGCTAATAAGTGTTATATTCAAAATTGTCATAACATACCTCAATTATTTATTTATGGCTCATATTTAATATAGAACAAATCCAATTTCGATGTTAGCATTGACTCCCAGTAAAGTTTCTGAAATGAAACACGAGGAAATGTAGTTCAGAATGATTGAATCTGAGCTTTGTGGGGATTTTAAGTGTATGCTTTTTCTTTCTTTCTCTTTCAGAATGTTAACATTTCCATTAATTTTTAGTGAATATGGGCTTTGAGTTTCCTAATAAAAGTTTTAAATGAACGCATACAAAGTGTTACAGTTTAGAGGAACGTATACAAAATGTTACACGTTATATATCAGACAACTGACCTGCTTGTTACTGTAGTAGCCGCTATAACATGCACAGAAACAGGGAGCTTGCACTTGGAAATCAGAGGAGGAAGTGATGGCAGCCTTACATTTTCCCCAACTACCAAGAAAATTCTTCCTCAGTCTGCAATTCCAGCTGGCATTCTTTGGTGGGCTTGGAGCCAGAAAGTTTCTTTTTGGAGCCTGTTTGGCATCAACCGTAAGCACACCAAACAGCAGCTGTATGGTTTGAATGGACCTGAAACATTTGTGGAAATTCTCAAGGGTGCCCAGGAGCGGGGGTGGGGGGTAGGGGGGGTAATCATATTTTCAGTGTGCATGGACTGAAAACATCCTAAATGGCACAGAAACATGAATATCAGTATTGACATATTGGTGCCCATGAAATATCCTAAGTAGCAGATAGGTATCAAAATACTGTATAATCCCAGAATTGCCTAGACGGCAGATTGGCTAATTCTGTTATACAGACCGGTAGGTAGCCTTTACACAACTTGTACTTCCCCCTTCCTGGTGTGGGAGGGAGTGCCATGGCTGGCCGTAAAGGTAGTAGCCTTGTGCACTGTACCTTTTTTGTTTTCTCTCATTTTCTCACGTCCAGGTTGCTGCTGGCTGTGTCGGGCCCAGACTTCTTGCTACATTGGAATCAGATCTGTGTATGTTTGAACAGATTATTTTAAGCACTTCATTTCTACTCAGCCCTGCGAAGGGTAAAATATGATGAAAACCCTCCCTGGGTATTTGCTTTTGCAACATTAAAAAAAAAATGCCTTGGTGCTAAAAATATTGATGCATGCTCACCACCAAACTGCGCCGCTGAATTTACAGTATTCCACTGATTAGGGACTGCATGCGCTTTGCTTTTGGAAATCTAGGGAGATTCCTAGAATGCAAGTATTCATTACCCTTATTACTACAGTTAATCCATGAACTTTACCCTGCAAAATGAGGAGTGTAAGGGGAATACCTTTTCTACGGAAAACTCAGCACTTTTGATATTTCTTTTAGCAAGAGTAATCGGATGCTAAAAATAATTTCGGAGAGAGGGCAAAAATATTTCCAAGAATCTTTTCTTATTTCTTCTCCAAAAAACCCTGACACCCATGTAAAGTGTTTTTAATATTGGGTTTTTGAAGGTGTTGTC